GCGCGGCGCGGTCCCCCAGCCGCCGGCCGGCGTGGAGGTTCAGCCAGATCAGGTACTCGAGATTCGAGATCCGGCGCCGCCGCCAGAGGGACATGAGCGTCGGAAGATCCCAGCGCGGCTGCAGCAGCAGTGGGCTTTCCAGCCGGGACGCTGCCGCGGCCGCCGCCGGCACCGCGGATGCGTCGTGCCCAGGGACGGGGCTTGGGGCGGAGCTTGGGGCGGGGCCGGAGGCGGGCAGAAGCCGGAGGGGCGCGAGCCGCGGCAGGCCGGGGGCCGCGAGGAAGATCTGATCCGACGAGAAGCCGCCGAGCGCGGCGCCGCGGGAGTGGAGGAAGTCGAGGGCGGAGAGCAGCTGGAAGAGCAGCAGGCGCCTGGCAAGGGAGAGTGGGCGGGCAGGTGGGGGAGAGCTGAGGGGCGAGAGGCGACACACAATGGTGGGGTGCAGCCTCAAATCTACGGGGGATTGTGATTGCAACTCTCAACAGTTGGGAGGGCGCAGGCGCTTGGCATATCCAGCTGCGCATCACCGTGTGTGCGTCGCCCCTGACCATGCCCACGCCGCGCAGTGACGCGGTGTGCGTCCGTTCAGCTGCATCAGCCGCTGCATCGGGGACGCCAAAAGCACGCCACTCTGCCGCAAAGCGTGCACAGCATGCAAGCAGAGGGGGCCGCAGCATGGACCCAGCGACCAACCAACGGCGTCGTTGCTGTGTCTGGAGCTTTGACCTGCAACACACCTGTCCATGTCGCCGCCCAGCGCCAGAGGGGAGAAGCTGAGCAGGGACGCGAGCGAGTGGCGGTGGCGGCCAAACACAGCCGCGCCGCCGCCCGACTCCGGGCGCCACGCGACCGCGAGCGGCGGCAGCAGGTTCGGGTGCAGGCTGGCGGCGCCGGCCCAGCCGCCGACGGCGGCCGCGAGGCCGGCCGGGCTCGAAGGCTCTCTGAGCACGGCCACGCCCCGCCCAAGCGCCGCCAGCGCCCGAACGTGCGGCGGTGACCACACTTTGAGCCCGCCGCTCGGGGCGGCACCGCTGCCGCCGCAGCTCCAGTCAAACAGGGGAGGTGGCTCGAGAGGCGCCGCGTCGGCCGGTACACTACCCGCGATGCTGCCACCGATAGTGGGGTACCCGGTGTCCCCCACATTTGACCCCTCTGACAGCTCGTTCAGAAACCTGTCCAGGCCGGCGTGCGCGAAGCTGCAGCGCGGCTGCTGCTGCTGCTGCTGCTGCTCCTGCTGCTGCTGCTCCTGCGGCTTCTGCTGCTCAAGGTGAGACGGCGCCTCGCAAGGCTGCTGGGCGTGCTGCTGCAGCGGTGCCGCAGCCGCAGGCGGCCCGTTATAGGTGGCGGATTCAGGTGCGCTTGCAGGGCTGGCTGCATCTCGTCCAGGGCTGCTGCTGCTGCTGCGGTCGCCACCGCCACCGCCACCGCTGCTGCTGCTGCTACGGTCACCGTCGCCCGCAGCGACGTCCGCAGCAGTGCTGCCGACGCCGCCCGCCCATGAGTCAAGGAACGCCAAGAGGAGGCGGCGGTTCGCGTCCAGCAGTGCGGCAGTGCCCCGCTGCTGCTGCTGCTGCTGCTGCTGCTGCTGCTGCTGTTGCTCCTGCTCCCGCCTTTGGGCGGCTGCTGCATGCGAGACGGGACGGGCGGGCCCGGCCGCGCCCCGGCTGCCCGGCTGGACGGACATTGTGCACACAGCTGTCGCTTGTGAGATGCATGTGGCTGGGGAGACTGCGCGTGTCCGTCACAAAGCATACAATGGTGTAAGTAGGCAAGATCTGGGCAGAGCATAGCATGTGGACAGGCAAGCGGCAGCAGGCGGCAACGGTCACGTCACCGTTGCAGGTGCAGCAACCGCGCACCATACTCGACGTCGAGCGCGCCTCCACATATGCCTGTCGCCAGGAGCTCTAAGCGCTGGTATTCGGCCTGCAGGTCGAGCTCCGCATCAGCCATGATATCCGTGGTGGTGGAGCCCGAAAATGATCATATGCAGCCAGATCCCATCTATCTCAAGCCTTCTACAATTCATAAATCCGTGTTTCATTCTTCATCGGTCGCCATCTCAACGGCTGCGACCATTATACCAGCTGCACCGCCTCAACAGCAGGAGCAGCAGCTGGTTGGCAGCTGTCCCGCTAACCCGTGCCCTTGCAGCGGCATGTGCCCACATCTGGCGCGCGGCTGGGCAGCACGCCTTCTGCCTTCGTCCCATCCGCCCACCATCCACCGCAGCTCCTTTGATCAGGGGCGCAAGCTCACCTCATTCCACATGCAGGGCCGACCATGGAGATACCGTATCAGCAGAGGGCCAAGCTTCTATACAGCAATGGAGGCATGCTTATTGCGCCCCCGGCAGGTGCTACAATCATGAACATCTTTCCGTGCCGTTGTCGCAGGGCGGCAGGTCTGCTGTAAGCGCCTGGAGACTCCGCTCAGGTTTGGAGCAGCATCATCACAGCCTCAGCAGGCTGTGCGCTGCACCCGCAAAAGGCACACTCAGGCAACAGCCGTTCCCAATTGTGGACAAGCCCCTGATCTACTGACAATTACATATGTTGAAGAGGCGGCAGCATGCTAGCGAAGCAGTGTCACCTGGTGTCAGCTGCCTCATCCTCGTCAGCGTGCAGGATGCATGATGAAATGCCTCTTGCAAAGAGGGATGCATAATACAAACAGGTATGCATGACATGGAGCAAGCAAAAACAGAGGCAAGACCAAAGGTGGCACAACCCAGCAAACGACGACTCAGCAGCCGGGGTCGACGAGCACGGCGCGGGAACACACAGACACAGCGCCAAGCCCTTGCACGCAGACAGCGGCCGGCGACCGCTGTATCGGACGCCGCCCACCCGCGCGCCCGGCGCGCAAGGCGTCGTCAGGCGACAAACAGCACGAAGATCGCGAGGAACGCCATGAGGACCACAAACACCTTCATCATGAGCATTCGGTTGCTGCTGATGCTGCTGAGGTACTTCATGAGCTGCGCCTTGGCGCTGTCCACGTTGCTCAGCGTCTCCTCGATGTTCTCGTCGATGCGCTGAGTCATCTCGCCCTGGGCCTGGACCTGGAG